GACTATAGCATTTTGTATCATATTGTTTGAAATAAGTTGACTTTATAGCACTTTGTATCATATTGTTTGAAATATGTTGACTATAGCATTTTGTATCATATTGTTTGAAATAAGTTGACTTTATAGCACTTTGTATCATATTGTTTGAAATATGTTGACTTTATAGCACTTTGTATCATATTGTTTTAAATATGTTGACTTTATAGCACTTTGTATCATATTGTTTTAAATACATTGTACAGTATGTAATAAATCTAGAGTATAAAGAGATTCCCCTCCCTTTCCAGTCTTCATAATGTCTGAACTGCCATAAGAACATATTGCATGAAAAATATAAAATTTTGTATTAAGTATACTGTAGAGTTCAGTGTTATGTGGTAAACACATGAGGTACAGATAGCAAGTCCTGTGGTGAACACATGAGATATATAGTAAGTCCTGTGTTATACTAAGTATATTGTAAAGTTCAGTGTTATGTAGTAAACACATGAGGTACAGATAGTAAGTCCCGTGGTAAACACATGAGATATAGATAGTAAGTCCTGTGTTATACTAAGTATATTGTAAAGTTCAGTGTTATGTATTAAACACATGAGATACAGATAGTAAGTCCTGTGTTATACTATGTAAATTGTAAAGTTCAGTGTTATGTAGTAAACACATGAGATACAGATAGTAAGTCCTGTGTTATACTATGTAAATTGTAAAGTTCAGTGTTATGTAGTAAACACATGAGATACAGATAGTAAGTCCTGTGTTATACTAAGTATATTGTAAAGTTCAGTGTTATGTAGTAAACACATGAGATACAGATAGTAAGTCCTGTGTTATACTAAGTATATTGTAAAGTTCAGTGTTATGTAGTAAACACATGAGGTACAGATAGCAAGTCCTGTGTCATACTAAGTATATTGTAAAGTTCGGTGTTGGCCAAGTTGACCCTCATCTTGTTGGTGAATAAGGTTTTCTTACTGTATTACTGGCAGACCTGCTGAACACAGCAACTGGATGGTGACCCCTGAAGTTTCTTTTGAGATCTGTGGATGACTGTTACAATTCAGCAGGATCATGCGTTTCAGAAGACAATCTTCAGCTGCTGTGGAAGCTTTCCCTTCTGATGCTCCACACAGCCAGTCTCTATATCTCTGCACCCAGCATCTCACAGTAGAGTGGATAAATTTAATTCTTCTAGCAATCTGCCTTGTCAAAAAATCCCTCCTTGCTTAAAGAAACAAGGAGTTAACTTTCAACCCATGACCATGGTAGCATTACACTCACATTTTAGTAGATAGGCTTCTAAACTGGCTCTCGGTAAGAACCTCTGTTTATAGACAAAAGATGACTGATCCAATACCCAGACAGCCTATAAAGATGCTGATGTAATAAGTAGACAGTGCTGCATCAACCTTAGAACAAATTTGTACGTACATGAATTAGGGCCTATAAACAGTCGACGATTCCAAGAAAATGTGTGATAAAATTGGGTGATGTAATAAATATTTCCATCACTCTTGTTTTGTTGATTTAAGAAGGTTGAAAAAAATTGTGCACCTCAAAAAAATGTAGTTTTCTT